TGCTTGCCTTTTCCTCCCTTCAGTGCAAAATGTGAGAGAGCTCCTGCAAGACCCCTGAGGCCACTTCTTCTGGCCGGGCAGGACGGGGGCAACAGGAAAGGCAAGAGGGTGTGTGACAGGGCAAGAGGCAGCAGCAAAGTTTCCGCTCCCTCATGTCTTCTCTCTTGCCTTCGGTGGTGAAAGAGCTCATGCATTGCCTGGTGGCAAGATATACTGATTGCACTAGTATTGCCAAGCAACTGTTCCTTGGACTCCTACTTCTTATAGCCATTTTTCTTACTAAGGGCCACAACCTTATGTAACTGAATTAAAAGAAGTGCAACATAATTACTGTCAGCTTTCACCACTCTTCCCATGGTGTTGGTAAACTGCCTGGACTGAGATGACAATTCTTCTGTGGGTGCCAATTCATAGTCACGTCCACTTGCGGTTGAGCTCTTGCTTCCAAGCGTAGCAGCAGCTGTGATAACTGCTCTTGTTACCACACGTCCTGGCATGTGTGCAGGAAGATTGCCACATCTCTGCCCCCAGGGATTATGCGATTTGGCTGTGTGAGGCAGACATGTCCCGGGAGGGTTCACTTCCTTGTTCCTCTCAGCCCACTCGCTCTGGGTGGCTGGTCCTCTCTAGCCTTCACTTGATGCTCCAGGTATGCTGCCAACGTGCCCTCGGCCTCCACGCCATTCCTGGTCAGGAGTGCCTAAAGCAATTGGCAACAAGCCACAAACGCAGAGAAGAACAGATATGTTCAAACCCATATTTCAGAGCTTGGTGTGAGAAGAGAGCAAACAATCCCTGCTTGGCCCTGAGGTCCTGCACTGCAAAAAGGGAAGAAGGGTGGCCATGTAGCTACACCAGACTGAAGACGGAGGCTGGGCTTCGAGCCCCTGGGACCCAGCCCGAGCCTCCTTCCTACCTACCAGGTCACCAGAGGTTCTGGGACCTGCAGCCCCTGCCACCATCTCCCTTTGGCAAGCCGCATCTCTGCCACGTCCACCCCTCATTTCACTGTGGGTGGGGACAAAATAAGTCAGCAAACCCAAGTAAAACAACCACCTGGAATTCTCTCACGAAACAAGCTCTCAGTGACAAAGCAGCGACAGTCCTATCCAATGCACAATACAAGTAGATACCTGGGTGCCACAGTGTTCAGTGCGTCAGGCCACTGTGAAAACCACAGAAAAGAGGAATGCTGCACCCTGCTCTGCTCCTGAGTCTCAGAAAAGGAGGCCCTTCGCTCAATAAGTGCGTCCCCTTCCCCATAATTTTCCGTAACTGCAGCCCCTCTCCTTGTCCAGGGCTGCACTTAAGAAACTGCTTCAAGAGCAGATGGTTTAGTAAAACCATCTAAATCTGTAACTTCTTGATTAGGGTTTAAATTGCTGTGATACGTTCTATATGGGGCTGCCACAACAGACTCTGAAACTAGAGAAAAGACAATTTACGGCAGTGAGTGTACAAAACTGGAACTGGCTGCCATCAACCTATTTCGCCAGTATTGAATCACCTTCACTGGTTCCCACTTTGTTTCCTGGTCTAATTCAAAGTTAGACCCATAATGGCTTGGGACCCATAATGGCTTGGGACCACAGTATCTGAAGGACAACCACTACCTTAAAATGTATGTATTGGAATCTGAAATTTTCAAAACTTGACTGATTTACCTCATTGCTCTGCCTTGAAATGTGTTTCATAATTTCCAACCCACTTCACTGTTTCCGGAGTGAGTGTGCTTCCTTCAGCAGAACGTCCTTGCTTTTTAGCAAGGGAAGCGAGGAAGAACAGAGTGAAATGAAGAAGATGTAGGCAAGATGTCACTACTGATTTGCTTGGCTAAACAGCTGGACAAGCAGTTCTTCATCCTTGTGCAAGATCCTGACCAAAATTAGCGAACGCATGCATAAAGCCTTGGAAATTGATTCTGTCTGATATGGATGGGAGAAGGAGAGTCCCCTGGCCACTGGGAGCCCCACAGGACTAACTGCAGAGCAGTTGTTGGCATAGGACTGAAGCAATGAGGGGTTCTGCCACAAAGGTGCCTGGAATGCAGGCTGGGGGAAGCAAGCCACAACCAGCCACCTGGTCATCCGTTGGGCTAGCAGGCGACCCATGATGGCTCATTCACAGGGCAGCTTAGTGTGCCATGTGAACTTGCATGCTGTATCTCTCTCTGTCCCTTTCTCACTCCATCTCAGTCTTCCCAACCAAACCCCAACATCATGCCGGAACAAATGTATGGACCAGCACAGTTGTCTGCGATTTGGGGCTTTCCTTGGGAACATGGCTGCAGGGCCTAACATGGCGACTCAGCACTGCTCTGCTCTCAGAAGGGAGGGAAATCCCCCACCTCTGTGTGCAAACTGTGATATGCCAGGGACTGTGAATTATGTTGCTACAGCAATTGTTTGCAGAATAGTTGGGTCCCCTATCAGTCTATGCTGAGAAGGGCAGGTACACTTAATACAGTCATTTGGGGGGTTCAGCCTGGAACTCAACAGAACTTTCCTGCTTTTTCCCTTCTTTCTCATCCTACCCCAATGATTTGTCAAAAGACCATTTTTTTAAAAAAAAAGGCAGGGAATGATGGACCACCAGCCCCTAAAAATCCTACACCAGGAAGCTTCTCAAGCAAATTACCATCTTTGTTTTCCTCTTCCTGTTATGCTTGAGTTGGGAATTGCCAGAGATGTGGCACACCTTCCAGGACTATTCTGACCCCTTGCTACTTTAGTTCAATAAAGAAAAAGAAATGCCAGCAAAGAAACCCAGCATTGCACAGCAAATTTTACCATTGTGCAAATGTGCCAGAAATAAAACATATGGTCTAAAATAGGAACTATGTTAAAATCAAGAGCCACAAAGTAGAAATCATTGCTATGCCAGATACATTCGTTTATTAGGCAATGCATCCATCTGTTCTCCAAACATATTTGAAAGTGTATGAGCATGCAAAATAATGTACTCCGTTAAGATTTTAACTGCACCCTTACCAATGAATATGGAACATATAATTAGGCATCATGTTAAATGAACATCTAATTAGTTGAGATTTTGCTGGCTGTAAGAATACATGAGGCCAGATGGTCAAAGAGGCAAAACCTGAAAGCTCTGAGCAATATTTTGTATCTAATGTTTGAATAAAAAATGCCCTTCTAGATTTGGCTAGAGAAGACAAAAACATTAATAGTATTTGGAGAAATTGTGCAAAGGTACGCATGAAATAGCTTTCTGGACCATTTAAGATATTTACTAAAAAATAACATTAAATGTGCTGTTAATCGGATTAGAGAAACATGATTGAGCAGAGCAAGAGGCAGGGAAAACTCAATAGATAGTTTTAAAACAGTTTGATATAATTTATTGCATGAAGCAAAACAAAAAACAAAAAACCCCAGTGTTTTAAAAGCCATTTTGTAGCCTTGTAATCTATAAATCCCTTATAAAAAGAGTTGCTGGTGAATCATCTTAACTTATTCTTAAACAGATAGAAAACAGCCTCCAGAAAGTTAAAATGACTTAGAACTAGAGATAAGGACCAAGTCTACTTTACAGTCAGACATGAATATTTCAGCAGCCACAATTTTATATTTCAAAGCTACATTGCATGGCATGTTTTGATTTTATATTAAGCATTCTGAACCTATACAAATCATCTATGTGCAAGCCACTGTATATCAAACAGATATAGCCAGTACTTCTGCCAATCAATATCCCAACATACAAGATAATGAACCAAACATTCCATTTTCTGCACTGTTCGTTCCCCTACAGAGGTATATAGCATCCTTTCTCTGACATTCCCCAGGATATTTACAGATTTCCTGCCTCCTCCCTCTCACCAAGAACCCTAGTAAGAAAGTATTTCTTACAATTGATATGGTAATATCTCCACCCTCTTTGAAAGGGAACACTCAAAAATAGAGTGTAGATTCTGGGATTGTTGAGGTGGACTATGGTAGATTAGTTCGCTCATGTTAAATTGTACAGTGGATTCAAAATCAGGAAGGAAAAGGAGTCCTAAAGATAGCAAGTTCTTCACTCTTCCATCAGTTATTTATGGCATAGTCTTTCTGATCTATGTTGGCAATTAATGATGCAGTTCAGCACACACCATAATTATTATTCAGAATTTTAGTGTTTTCCAAGCATAAACTTCCCTGTAATCCCCCACATACCAAAGTCATTCACAACAGCCATAATGCACTGGGACCCATGACTTCTAAGACTATGGAAAACATAATTTGGCAGCCTGTGTGATTTTTAAATTTTCTTTTCTTGTTCATGCACTTGGCCCAATCTACCTGAGTCATCGAATTAAGACTGTAACATACTGTTTCCACCATGTCTCTGCTGGCAACATCTTCAATTCCCATCTCCACCCCCGCCACGCAGACACTTTCTGCTCTGTGTTTAAACCCCAGCCCAGGAAGCCAACAGCGAGGCCACTGCTGTGTGACTTGCGGTTGGCCCTGGAAAACCCCGTCGAGATGTTTGGCTTCCTCCATGAACTTGGAGAGCTGCTAGGGCCATAGATCCTCGGGTCCACTTCCTGCGCTGGATGGGACCCTGGCTTCCTCCGCTCCTTCCAAACCCGTTTCCCGCTTCCGCCGCCAGGTCTTACATAACGCAGCCTTTGCACCGGGACAGCGCACAGCGCACGGCCTCTCCTGGTGCCTCCGCCCTGCTCCAGTTGTCGCTGCAACCCGGGCAGGTTCCGCGCGTGTTGGGGACCAGGTCAAAGCGCCCGCTTCTTCCACGCTCCTGCCTTATGTAACGCGCTCTTCCCGCGCACCTCTCCGCGCAACCTCTGAGCGCCCGCCCGGCCGGCCCGCTGCGCAGGGATCCATCCCGCACCGGCCCGCTGCGTCCGTCCCGGGCTTTTCCCTCGGCCCCCCCCCCCCCCCGACCCTCGCCCGGCACGCGGGCGGCTGGCGGAGGAGCGCAGCCCGGGGAGCGCGAGGGCGCCCACGTGCCGGCGGCGGCCCCCGCCCCAGGCTCACCTGCCCGCTCTCCTGGACCCCCAACAGGTGGCCTTGCAGCAGCACCATCGGCGAGGAGCTGTCCGAGTGCGCAAAGGTCCCCTTGAAGACGTGCGCGAGCGGCGCAGCCTGCGGGGAGCCCATTGCGCGCGCTCCTGCGGCTGCCCGGGCGAAGCGGGAGGTCACCGCGGCGCCTTCTGCCGCCGCCGCCGCCGCCGCCGCTCTCGCGCTCCCGGGCGAGGAGGGCGCTGCGCTCCCCGCAGGCTGCCGCCGCCGCCGCTCGCAGGAGTGCCTCCTCCGCCGGCGCCAAGCGCAGCGCGCAGCACCTGTCAACCATCTCTCCTCCCCCACCAGGCGAAGACGTCCCCCCTTTGGGGTGTGGTTAGGCGAAGCGCCGGCTTGCGCCCCGCGTCCTCCGCCCGGCGGAGCCCGGCTCTGCCCGTGGCCCTCCCGCAACCACCCGCCTCGCCGAGCGCGGGACCCCAAGGGCGCGCGGCCGCCTTCCCTCGGCGCGCCCGGAGGGCGAGAGGCGCGCGTGGCGGGCGCCTACTCAGCCCTTCCCGCTCCCTGTTTTGCCACAAGCGAGCAGGCAAGCCAGCCCTGCTGCACAGAGCACCCGGCTGTTTATTCAGCAAAGGAAAGCAGACGGGAAAAGGAGAGATCGCTCTGGAGAGCCGTCGGTGGGAGACGGTGGCGGTGCGGAGCCCCAGGCTGAGCCGGGCTGCCATGTTCCGAAAGCGCTCCGTCTGCTGCGGAAGGGCTGCTGCCCTACCTGTGCGCGCCAGCCGCCTGAATGGCGGGCGAAACCATCCCTCCCTCGTTCCTAACAAAGCCTGGCCATGAAAGGGCTGCTCTGTTCTACTCGGCAGGACTGAGGTTTTCCTCTGCCCGCAGTTTCTCTGCCCTACTTTTTATCCGCCCACAGTAGCCTGGACGGGCAACCATCTGCCCAGGTGTGTGCCTCAGATGCAAGTTAGATGCCTGAAAGCTACCTGGGTGAGAAGTGTTGTGAGCCTTCTGGAAAAATGGGTGGTATTTTTAAACCCTTTTTTAATTTAAGAAGAATACTGAGTAGCAAAACTGCATGGAGCCTTGGAAAGACCGTTGTGGTAGGTAATTGAAAACTTGCTTCAACTTGGTATTATGTGGCTCCTTCAGTCCCAGCCAGAATTTGTGGTGCCACAAAATATGCAGAGGCAATTAATAGTCCCTGCCCTGATAAACTCCCTTTGGGCTTATTAGAATGCATTGTCTGTGCACCTGTACTAAAAGACAGTCTAGAAATGCTGCAAAATATAATGGCAATTCTTTAAAGTGTGACTGGGCATTATGAATATATTACTTTAGTGTGTGTGTGTTTTAATTATCATTAGCTCCCAATTCATTTTCACACTCAATTCAAATGATGACTTTGACTTAATAAGCCCTTGGTTACCTGAAGGGTCCCCTTGGCTCATATGTAGCTACGCAGATTCTGTACTCAGGGTACATAACATACCATTGTGAGAGATGGCTTTTCTGCTGTACCTTCCCATCCCTCTGCCAGCTGTAAGATGCTCTTCTCAGGAAGGCTCACCCAGTGCACACTCCAATTCCTTACCAGCACCAGGAAAATACCTTTTTTATTTACATGGGCCTTTAGAAAACTGCTGTTGCATGCCATCAAGTCATAACTGACTTATGGCAGCCCTATGAATGAAGGCACTCCAAATATCCTGCCTCTTGACAGCCCTGTTAGCAACTCAATCCTATTGCTTTCAGTGAACCTTGCCTTCTCATGATATGCCCAAAGTATGTCAACTTCAGTTTTGTCCTTTTTGCTTCCAGGGAAAGTTCTGCCTTGATTTGCTCTACGACCACTTGTTCTTTCTGTTGATCCAGTGGTTTCACATAGCTTCAGTCCAGGCCCATGTTTCAAAAGCATCATTCCCCCCCCCCCCCCATCAGTTTTCTTCACTGTTCAGCTTTCACACCCACACACAGTGTTTGGGAATACAATACTGTGAATGATCTTGGCCTAATCTAATAAAGCATTCTTACACTTGATCTTGTTTAATTCCTTCCTTGCTGTCCTTCTAAGTCTCAGCCTTCTAATTTTTACCTGTAGTCTCCTTTTGAATTGATGACTGAACCAAGGTATGTAAAATCTTTCACAATTTTGATTTTTTTTATTATAGTAAAGAATAGTACAGTAAAGTACAGTACAATTCTGTAGTTTTTCAGTGGACATGATTTTTGTTTTCGTACTATTCATCTGCAGTTCTGCTTTTGTACTTCCTTCTTTCACTTTCATCAGGAATCATTTCAAATCATTACTGCTTTTTGCCATTAATATGGTATCATTTGCATATCATAAATTATTGATCCATCTTCCACTAATTTTCATGTCTTCATCCTCTGATCCTAATCCAGCTTTCTTCAACATACATTCTGTGTAAAAGTAGAACACATAGGGAAATAATCTGATGCCTTTGCCTATAGGAAATTATTCTCTTTTTCCATATGTACTCCAAAATGTAGCTTCTTGTCCATGATGTGGGACAAACAAGTCCTGAGGCACACCCAGTTTTTTCAGAAACATTCATAACTTCCCATGTTCCACACAAAGACTTTTCTGACGTCTATAAAGCACCAATCATTTGAAATTCTTTGGTGTGTTTCAGTAGCCAACATATATTTGCTATATGATCTCAAGCGCCTCTTCCTCTACAGAATCCAGTTGAATGACTGGTATTTCTTGCTCCATATAGGGTAAAAAAAAGTATAATGTTAAAATCATAGTTGCTAACATTTTAATCTCTGCATCTTTCCATGAATTCAGGATGTTTTAGCTCTGCAAAGATGTTTTATGACTCTCTTCATTATATTATCCATCTTCATAAATTGGTCAGAAGATCAAGGACTACTGGGGCTGTATTCCTGTTTCCCAGAAGAACATCATAGTTCCACCCACTGGCCAGAGGAGATACAGCTGCAGGAAACCGGTTTCATCATTCCCACCAGAAGGCATATAACACTGAGCGATGGTGTCTTAGCTTTGCAGTTTCCTCCTCTCTCCCAAATCCCTTTTCCTTTCATCTCATCACTTTCAGATTGCATGCTCGAGGGCCTCACAACTAATCATTGAAAGCTACTTTAAGAGTCTTTTTTTAAGCTGAGGGGTAAAAAATGAATGAATGTAAATGATTAGACTGCGACTACAGTTGTATGTGTGTGATACAATATGGATGCTTTTCAGATTATTGTGCTGCTATTTATGATACTTTTACTCGTTTGTGATCTTAAATTGTTTTTAATAGTTCATTAGCCAGGCAACCTTGGCTATATGATCTGTCTGATTCACACAATTAAAAAACCACCCAATCGACCGGAACAAGGATTGTGCAGCTCCAGATTAGCACTGATAATTACTCTAGCACTTATTTTGTAGAATTCTTAGCAATCTGCATTGTGCTTGTGCTCACTTCAACCCTGCAAAGCAGATCAGTATTGTAACAGGGAGAGCAAGAGCTAAACAGAAATGGCTTTTCAATGGCATTCAGAACTATGTTTCTTATACCCAAGTCTGTATATGCAGCTAGAAAAGACTGTGCTCAATCACTGCCCTTCCATTTATATGACAGATTCTATCCACTCTGTAATCTATAGGGCCTGCTATTGATTGATTGATTGATTGATTGATCGATCGATTGATTGCAGACATTTATATCTCATCCTATCGCCAAGCGTTCAGGGTGGCTTACAAAATATAAAAGTATATAGATGCCATATATAGCAGATTCCATAGTCTGCTATAGCCTTCTTCAGACCTGAAAGTGGTCTGTGATGAGAGACATTCAAGAAGAATATTAGAGGAGTCAGTGAAATTATAAGGAAGTAGAAGTGGAGCAGATCTGCACTTTGAACAAAGATACAATTTTAATGTAAAGCCAGTCCTTGCTCTACGCAAGGCTGTTCTTCTTGATTGTGACTGCTTTAATAGCATTTGCAACAGGGAACTTAGTCAAGAAGCAAAGTCCTTTATCCCATTTTATGACAGCATTATGGCTGTCAGTTCTAAAAGCAGGAACCGGTCCTCCCTGAAGCAACAGTACTGACAATTGAAACCTTTCCCCAAATCAACTTGTTCTGTCTTCCTAAGCTCAATTGTTCACAGCGCTTATGCACTGTTTCAGAAAAACACCAAATTTGCACCATTTCAGGATGAATGAAGTGATCATTTTCAGATGTGGCGGTTGTGTGATTTTGTACATCTGTGCTCTTGCACAGATGACTGAGCCTGGTATAACACAGAATGAAATGACAAAATATCTTCGGATATGCATGAAGTAGTTAGCCGGAATCAGGGGTAAGGAATTGCTATGGGCTTGGGGGTATACTGGCAATATGGAAAAACATAACAAAACCCTGTTCTGGGCACCACTACAAAATGGCTGCTGCAAGATTCAAGGCCACTCAAAAAGGACAAGTCACCTGCCCAAAAGATCAAACAAGTTACGAATTAGCACACTAAGCATCCCCCTCTTCTCACCGCAAGCACAAGAAAATAAGCTGGCCTGGTGTTTTTAAGGATTCCTCCAAAATCCCCCCAAGCCCTTTCTTTCTTCCTGTCCCCACAGCTGGCCCACAATTGCCCTTCTTAACCCCACTGCTCTCTTTAGCCACCCTGCCAAAGGTGACAAGTCCCAATTTCTTTTCTCTCTCCTTTTTCTCTATAGCTGAACATACTGCAGATGAAAGTGTCAGCATCATGTATATTTCTTAAGAATGTCTCTGAGTCTCATATACAGCCCAGCAGCATTCATGAGAAATGAAGATGACAGTGGCTGGAAGTCCTTCCCTTAATATGATGTCATCTCAGCAGCCAATAGGGGAAAATTGTGTTCTATCTGGCTCTGCATCAGGTGCTGAGAAAGTTATCTGGGACATGCTTGTGCCCACCAACAGCAATGCCCACCAGTGTTGCCTGTTCCTGAGTTAAATAGTTCAAACTGAGTTAAAACTATGGGATCGTACACTTTCAAGAAATGAGTTTTTGCAAATCTTAGGAGAGTGTTTACTGTGCTTGGTTGAAATGAACTGCATACTGAGATTGGTCACTTCAGTTCAGGGTTTATTTGTCAATTTTCCTAGAATTAATAAGGGAGCTGCCAAGAACATACCAGTTACTTGGCACATAATCTAGTAAGCAATTCATTTAAGAACAGGACATGGCTGGGACAAGTTGAAAGGGACCTACCCTCAGCCAGCCATTCCCTGAC